CCGCCGCCAAGCCCGCCGCCCCAAGCCCGCCGCCGCCCCGCCGCCGCCAAGCCCGCCAGCCCCGTCGCCGCCACCGTCAAGCCCTCCTCCGCCGTCCAACCCCGCCCCCTCACCCCCCCCTCATCCCCCCTCACCCCGCCCCCGCCCCGTCCCCCGCGCAGGTTCTACTTCTCGCCGCCACCTGCGAGTCGGCGGGTAGAGCAGCAGCTTGCTTGTTGGCCTCCACCGAATTCACAGCCTTGTTGGAAGGGTCAACCAATGTGCCCGTCCGCCCGCCGCCTACGGTGCCCACCCCGCGCCCCCGGAGCCCGAAAACGGGGCGCCGCGAGCTCGCGACGCCGAGTTTTCCTCGAAATCACACCGTTGCCCCTTCCTATTGAGAAGAATAGGAAGGTGTGGAAGAAGAACTTAAACGGTCTTAAAAGAGGGGAAGGTGTGGCCACCTCGATCCTCGTGGGACGTGGGAACACAGCCTGAGGGAGGGTGTAGAGGATGTAGAGTGTAGAGCGCTGTAGAGCTGTAGAGATGTAGAGCGCTCTGGAGCGCTGTAGAGCGCTGTAGAGCTGTAGAGCTCTACATCCGGCGTGGGACAGAGCGATGCAGATGTAGAGCACTGTAGAGCGCGATTTTGCTGTAGAGTTTGTTGTAGCAAACCCGCCGGGAAGGCAGTGACTCAAAGAGGTCGAGCCGCACTAGTGGGGTGTCTCCGAGCGCTTGCTGGAGCTCTGATGGACGGCCCTGACTATCCCTGACACACACTGGACACACAGAGAGTCACTCTGACGGCACACAACACCCTATAACTGCGTCATGACCAGCCTGCCATGCGTCGCCGGTGCCGCATTTGTCGCAGTGCTTCTGTAGCAGTCGGTGGACTGTCGGCTGCGAGGACGGTCGCATTTGCGCGAGGCGAGGCGAGCATTCAGACGCACTGCATGCGCCATGCCTCGCGCCAGCGCGTGCGGGAGCTCCTGGCTGAGCGTTGAGTCCAAGCGAGTTGCGCTGGCCACGATCGCTACGCCGAGCCGAGCTGACGCGCCGAGGCGCCGGCCAGTCGCAGCCGTGAGGCATGCCACAGCAGCAGAGGCACCTGCCACCCATTGGGCGGGCAGACAGAAGGCCAGAGCAGCACTGGCAAGTGCAACGCGCCTAATGTCGGAGAGCGACCGTGCCTCGTTCGCCGCTGACGATGTAGAGTTTGTTGTAGAGATTTCACGTTGTAGAGCGCCTCTACATCGCTCTACATCTGCATCGCTCTGTCCCGCGCCGGATGTAGAGCTCTACAGCTCTACAGGTACAACGCTCTCCAGCACTCTACATCTCTACAGCTCTACAGCGCTCTACACTCTACATCCTCTACACCCTCCCTCAGAACGCAGCCCCCGTGGGAACGCACTGCCGGCTACACGTGGATGCCGCTGTGCGCTGGTCTGTGAGAGGTTGAGGTGCGAGCCCTGGAGGCCCTGGGGATGGGGGGAGACTACCCGCGGGCCTAGAAGGCCCGCGCGCAGGGGGGTGGGGCATTGAGACCGGTCATGAATGAGTGCGCGACACGCATGTTGCGAGCAGCGTTGTTGATGTTCTGCGCGTCGCCACAGCAGCGCAGCGGCGCGCGAGAGCTGTTGCGAGTGGTGCTGGGCGAAGCCCCGGGCGCTGGCCGCTGCCGGAGGCTGTGCGCCGGGGCACGGTAATCCGGCACGTGTTGGGCGCCCCATTCCGTTTAGGGCTAGGTCGGCTCAGGGCCCCGTCCACTTCCCTCCCACTTGGCGCGTGATGATGAGGAGATGCCACCCAGGCCAGCCAGGGCAAGGGCGGAGGGCGAGAGCGGAGAGCGGAGGGCTGGGCGGAGGCAAGGGCGGGCGGAGGGCGAGGATTTTTTTTTTGTTTCGTTGGCCGAAGCCTCGTTGGCCGAAGCCTCGGTGGCCGAAGCCTCAGTGGCCGAAGCCTTAAAGGACGGGTCGGGCCGCGGGGAAGGGACGGGGCGGAGGGTGAGGGGAGAAGGGGCGCGGGCAGGGGGGGGGGGCAGAGCCCGAGTGCGAGTGCGAGTGCGAGTGCCAGTGCAAGTGCGAGTGCCGGGGCGGGGGTGGCGGGGGTCATAAGGGGCGGAGACCAGCTTGGGTGTACTATACATATGAGCCATTAATAATATCCCTTG